AGCCAACGCCCAACCCCAAACCCTAAACCCCTGAACCCCACACCCCCTAACCCTAAACCCCTAAGCGCCTAAGCCCCTAAACCCCAAACCCCCAAACCCGGAACCCCCGAAGTATGCGTAGTAGTTTAGATGCCTTAAAAGGGTTTAGACGGCGTGGGGCTGAGGGTTTTAGGGTTTGGGGCTCAGGTTTCGGGTTTCGGGGTTGATGGCTTCGGGGTTGAGGGTTTAGAGGGTTTGGGGCTTAGAGCAAACCCTAAAGCCCAACCCCAAACTCTTAGGTTGGTACCATGGGCCCTTGGTATGGTCCCTTCCCCTCTTGTTATGCAGAGTGTATATTATAAGGGTTATAAGAAGGGACCCAGATTAAGGGTTCAGACCTTCGGACGCTGGATAAACCCACGTGGAGGTTCATGGGTACGTAAAACCCCAATTATACGTCTACGTATAACCCTAAACCCTAAGCCCGAAACCCTAAGCCCCAAACCCTAAACCCTAAACCCTACACCCTAGACCCTAAACCCTAAACCCTAAACCCTAAACCCTAGACCCTAAACCCTAAACCCGAATCTCTACTTAGAGGACTCAGGAGACTTAGGTGGGCCGGCGGGCCTAGGCCCTGAAGCGCTAGCACCCCGAGCCCACAAGTGCCTCAGGAGCTGAGCCGCGCCTGGGCGGGCGGGGGAACAGAGAGGGGGGGCGGGGGGGGTTTAGGGTTGAGGGTTGAGGGTTGAGGGTTCAGGGTGGAGGGTTTAGGGTTTAGGGTTTAGGGTTTAGGGTTTAGGGTTTAGGCTTGGGGCTTAGGGCTATTGGCACATAGGGTTTAGGGCTTGGGGTCTGCGCAAGGTTTAGGGCGTTGGGGGGTTTTGGATTTGCACTAGCCTTTTGTCAGAGTCCGGTTTACAGCCCGTTTCGGTGCGTTGAAGAGAAACCTAAACCCTAAACCCTAAACCCTAAACCCTAAACCCTAAAAACTAAAAACCCTAAACCCTAAACCCCTTTTTCTCTTCGTCTTTTTCTGGTACTTCATCCTGCCGAGGGGCAAGAGGTACGTCATCACACGGCCTTTGCCCTTCATCTCCTCAAGGGTTTCGGGTTCTAGGGTTTCGGGTTTAGGGTTTCTGGGTTTTAGGGTTTCGGGTTTAGGGTTTCTGGCTTTTGGGTTTAGGGTTTAGGGTTTTTGGGTTTAGGGGTTCATGGGTGCTTTTCTGTAGGGGGAGAAAGAGGGGAAGCATGGTTAGAGAGTTACTTAGGGCACTTGTCACCCTACTTATAAGTAGCCATGAACCTTCAAGTGAGGGTTGCGGGCTCTAGGGTTTAAGTCTAGGGTTTTTAGGGTTTAGGATGTTTAGGGTGTTTAGGGGCTTTCGGGTTTAGGGTTTTAAAGGGTTTTCGGTTTTCAGGGTTTTAGGGTTCTTAGTGTGTTTACGGTATTTTAGGGCTTAGCGCTTTACGGACTTTCGGACTTGAGGGGTATTCCGGGGTAGGGTTTAGGGTCTAGGATTCTAGGATGTAGGTTTTTTTTTGTAACGGGTGTTTTTGGCGGTTAGGGTGGATAGGGTGTTAGGGCGTTTAGGGTTTTAGGGTGTTTAGGGTTTTGGGGTGTAGGGTTTTAGGGTTTTTGCGCTTTGGGGTCGAAAACCCTAAACCCTGAACTCAAAATCCTAAAACCCTGGCTGGGTGCAGCATTGAGGTTTCAGGGTGTGGGGTTTTCATGGGCTCCCCTACTACCCCCCTCTACACTAATGAAGGCTATTTGGGGGTAATTAAGCCACGGGGGAACCTAGATGGGGGGGGGTACGTAGTCCTAAACCCTAAACCCTAAACCCCAAACCCCAAACCCCAAACCCTAAACCCTAAACCCTAAACCTATGAGGGTTAGGGTCTCCCAGCAAAGGCCGAGGGGCAACCCAGCCACGAGATTGAGCCACGGCCCAGTCAGGCAAATACCTTGGCTTTCAACCCTAAACCCTAAACCCTAAACCCTAAACCCTAAACCCTAAACCCTAAACCCTAAACCCTAAACCCTAAACCCCTAAACCCTAAACCCTAAACCCTAAACCCTAGACCCTCGACCCTACGCCCTGCACCCGAAACCGCAATACTCTTGTTCAGATCTCCCTTGGGCGAGTGTCTGCTTGGTCTCCTCACCGAACTGGACCTGGCGCGGCCGTTGCAATTTGAAGAGGGTTTAGGGTTTAGGATTTAGGGTTTCGGGTTTCGGGTTTAGGGGTTACGGTTTCACAAGGGGTTGAGGGTTTGGGGTTTAGGGTTTAGGGGTTTGGGGTTTAGGTCCTCTGAGGAGAAGCGGGGGCGGGGGGGGGGAGCGCCTGAGGGGGCTTTAGGGTTTCGGGTTTGGGGGTTGGGTCCAGGGTTTGGGTTTAGAGAGGAGGGTGAAGGGTGTAGGGTGTAGGGTTTAGGGACCAGGGTACAGTTCAAAAGCCCGCAAGCTCTGCATGTGGAATCTTCGATGCCCTCGACCTCTGTTGTGGGGGAACAAGGCTGACCTTTTGGGGCACATGTCATGGGGCTGCGTAGAGCCGAAACCCGAGGCCCTGCACCCTAAGCCCTACCTGTGACTCCCAAACCCTACAAAACAGTAGGCTCTAACCTCGTAGATAGAGGCCCTAAACCCTAAACCCTAAACCCTAAACCCTAAACCCTAAACCCTAAACCCTGAACCTCTTTCAGCTCCCACAGCCTCCCCAGGCAGGCTCTTCTGCATCATCCTCGCAGCCGGGTGTCTGGGCCCCACCGGTTGGTAAGGTTCTTAAACTTGAGGGGTTTCGTTGTTATGTTTTTAGGGTTTAGGGTTTAGGGTTTGGGGTTTGGGGCTTGGGGCTTGGGGTTTGGGGTTTGGGGTTTGGGGTTTGGGGTTTAGGGTTTAGGGTTTAGGGTTTCGGTTCGGGATGAGGGTTTAGGGTTTGAGGTGTCAGGGTTTTGGCTTTAGGGTTTGGCTCCGTGATTGGGGTCTGGGGCTTAGGGCTCAGGGTGCGCAGCCTCCCGCGCGATTGTGCCGAGCCACAAACATGACTGGTGCCGTCATGCGCAACACTACTACATTGAGGGCTTCGTGTTCAGGATCTAAGGAACTTTCTTGACCCGTGTGGGACGTACAAGAAGAAGACTCTTCAATTCCAAAGCTACTTGGAGATTCATGGTACTTATTCACAGATTATAACTGTACTTATAACCCACGAAAAAGCCCCTTAAGTGCCCTGATATGGTTATATGTGCAGTTATAAGTACAGTTACCCTAAACCCTAAACCACCTTAAACCCTAAACCCTAAACCCTAGCTTGGTTAAGAAGTAGCATGAACCTTCAAGTGGAATTCTCCTGGCAGCCATGTTCATGGTGTCGCCGAAGAGGCGAAAGCGAGGTAACCTGCCAGAGCCCAAGCTGAAAGCTTCAGACTTCATGTGAACCCTAAACCCTCAACCCTAAACCCTAAACCCTAAACCCTAGACCCTAGACCCTAGACCCTAGACCCTAGGACCCTAAACCCTAAACCCTAAACCCTAAACCCTAAACCCTAAACCCTAAACCCTAAACCCTAAACCCCAAACCCCAAACCCCAAACCCTAAACCCAGCCCACCCCGCACCACCTGCGGCCCACGACTCCGGCCACTACCGGCCCGGTGTGGATGCCCATCTTCACCTCTCGGTTTAGGGATTTAGGGTTTAGGGTTTAGGGTTTTAGGGTTTAGGGTTTAGGGTTTTAGGGTTTAGGGCTTTAGGGTTTTAGGGTTTAGGGCTTTAGGGCTTTAGGGGTTTAAGGTTTAGGGTTGTAGGGGCTTAGGGACTAGGGCTTAGGGCTTTTCGGGTTTAGGGTTTGGGGTTTAGGAGAAGAAGGGGTTTCGAAGTTTAGGGTTTAGAGTTTTCGGCTTGTACTTGGCGGTTCATCAGGGTACCTAAAGGCAGAGTGCTAGGTGGGGTAGCTATGTTTCTGAAATGATTTAGGGGCTCTTACAACCCAACTTATATTTACCCATGGGTCTCTATGTGGCTGCTTCCACAAATTTAGGGTTCCCAGCCTAAACCCTAAACCCTAAACCCTAAACCCTAAACCCTAAACCCTAAACCCTAAACCCTAAACCCTAAACCCTAAACCCTAAACCCTAAACCCTAAACCCTAAACCCTAAACCCTAAACCCTAACCCTAAACCCTAAACCCTAAACCCCAAACCCTAAACCCTAATCTAGTAGAAAGAGGTGCCCAAGTTGTTGGAGGCTCTCAAGTGCTCTTGGGTTGTTCGGTTGAGGGCTTCGGGCTTTGGATGCGACTAGAGTTGCGGGTATAGGCTTCCGGGAGGGGGTTGGGTGATAGTTGGAGTTTAGGGTTCAGGGTTTAGATTGGGGTTAGTGACGGTTCAAAGGGTTGCAGGGGCAAGGGGGTAAGGTTGAGGGTTCAGGGGTAGGTGCTTAGGGTGTAGGGTTCGGGGTTTAGGGTTCAGGCCTTAGGGCTTCGGGCCACAGGGTTTGTTGAGGCTTGGGGTGGGACAGGCCCCGCCGAAACGGACCCAAACCCGAAAGTTACCCGAAAGCTTCCCCACGGGTCCACGCGGCCAGGAGCACCCCGATTGCCACAAAGGGAACAAACCCTAAACCCTAAACCCTAAACCCTAAACCCTAAACCCTAAACCCTAAACCCTAAACCCTAAACCCTAAACCCTAAACCCTAAACCCTAAGCAACTCCTCAGAAAGAGAGAGAGAGAGAGAGAGAGAGAGAGAGAGAGAGCGAGCCTCAACCCTAAGGTCTCTGCAAGCAAGCGGCGAGAGGGGTGTCCTGCGACCTGAGGATGTAGCTGTCGGATGCTCTCCCGAAACGTCTCAGATCCCGCCACAAGCCTAAATCCTAAACCCTAAACCCTAAACCCTAAACCCTAAACCCCAATCCCTAAACCCTACATGCAATAGGTTCAGGAAGTTCAGGTTTCGAACTGGTGTCTGCAACAAGTGTGCTCGGGTGCGGAGCTTCAGCTCCTGCTAAGTTGCTCCCCAAAAGCCAGCCAGCCTCGCCTCGCTTAATATTGCCCCCCCTGCGCATACTACAATAACCCTGAAAACCTAAACCCTAAACCCTAAACCCTAAACCCTAAACCCTAAACCCTAAACCCTAAACCCTAAACCCTAAACCAAATTCTAACGAGGCCCCTAGAGTAGGCCCACCCGAGGGGTTTCATTCCCTCCGCTTGCAATGCACTCGGAGTACCGGAGCGTCTTGCGAAGAACGCAAGAAATGCACCGAGGGGGTTTAGGGCTTGGGGCTTAGGATTTCGGATTTAGGGTTCAGGGTTTGGGGTTTAGGATTTAAGGAGTACGGGGAGACACCCCGAAGAAACTCTGGGAAGTCTCCGGGAAGTGGGAGGGAAAGGTCCTAAGGGCTTCCAGGAGATCGCCGAAATTGTCCAGTTAAGAGCATCATCCGAGCAGAAGATGAGCATAACATCCCCCCTATCCACCCTATACCCTAAACCCTAAACAGCCTAAACCCTACACAGCCTATACCCTAAACCCCAAACCCTAATTAAACCCTAAACCCTAAACCCTAAACCCTAAACCCTGAACCCTGAACCCTGAACCCTAAACCCTAAACCCTAAACCCTAAACCCTAAACCCTAAACCCTAAACCCTAACCCCCCCGCCCCTCCCTTCTTCGTGGCCCCTTCACGTCCGCCAAGGCGCTCGGACATCGACTGCAGCTCGAAGGCCACTCCCAGCAGCCGGGAAAGGCAGCTGGTGTGGCCGTGGACGTGGTCCTCTCGGGCTTTGGGTTTGCTGTACTACTCTTTCCAGCCCCTCCCCTAAAAAATAAAACAAAAAAAGGCTTTCATCCCTATGCTTCCCAAAACAGGAAGAAGATGAAGGAAGATTCTTAGAAGCAAGTGGCAGTTATGAGGATCCTTTGCAGGTGGTTTAAAGATGCTTTAGGGTTTCCGGATCCTCGCGGGTTGCTTCTAGGGCTTGTTCAAGGCTGCTTAGGGATTCCTGAGGGATCCCTGAGGGATCCAAAGCTAAGGCTGCTTCGGGATTGTTTCAGCATCCTCCTCGTGTAATCTGGCAACCAGAACCGCTACCAATCTTGAAACCTTGCATCCTCAAACCCCTAAACCCCTAAGCCCTAAGACCCCTAGACCCCGAAACCCTAAACCCTAAACCCTAAACCCTAAACTGAAAGGAGCGTCCTCGTCTTGATCGGTTGGCGAAACGCCAACGCCACAAACATACTCCTCGCCTTGGGTATCGAGGAGTCCGAGGATTTCCTTCTTGCTTGGATCGGAGGCAAGTGGGGGGACCCTTTGGGGATATAGACCCTCTCAAGAAGGTCACTCCTTTAATGGTACCAGAAGAGGGTTGAGAAGGGGTCCCCTTTGAAGGGTCTCCGTAGTCCCTCCCCTTATTGGAGGGGGGGGGGGGGGCAAGTGGGGGGGGGGCTATTTGAGAGCGTCGTTGGGACTCATGGAGCTTGGGGGTTAGGGTTTTGTTGTTTTTTTTTTTATTTTTTTGTTTGGGGGGGGGTTTGTTTGAGGGTTCAGATACCTTTGAGTTTTTGACTTTTGGGGGGTTTTGCGGGGGGCTTTAGGGTTCAGGGGCTTCAAGGCTTCAAGGTTTTGAGATTTTAGGGTTTCGGGTGAGAGGGTCTAGGCTCCGCTTTCGGGATGGCCGGCTTCTCAAACTATACTTGGGAGGTGGAGTGTAGGGCTCAGGGTTCAGGGTTTCGGGTACTTCTGAGTAGGGCGATAAGTACCCTCTAGAAGGCAAAAGCCACAGTTTATAACCGACTTACAAATACCCTAACGAACCTCCAAGTAGAGGTAGATCCTCCTTGTCAGTTCTCTAGGAGTCACAAGGATTCCCTTTTCTAGCGGTGGGTACTCTTCTTGAGGAAACAGGGACCCAACAAGAAAAATCTTAGCCCGACATGGAACCTCGCCAACCCCCCCCCCCCCACCCCAAAAAAGAAACAGGAAAGGGCCTGTCGGGAGAAGAACAGAAAACTTGCGCAGAACTCAGCCTGCGGCTAACGAGCTGCCGGTCCGTGCCCACCCCCCCCACCCCCCACCCCCCCCCCCCCACCCCCCCACCCCCCCCCCCCCCCCACCCCCCCCCACCCACCCCCCCCCCACCCCCCCCACCCCCCACCCCCCCCACCCCCCCCCCCCCCCCCACCCCCCCCCCACCCCCCCCACCCCCCCACTCCCCCCCCCCCCACCCCCCCCCCACCCCCCCCACCCCCCCCCCACCCCCCCCACCCCCCCACCCCCCGCCCCCCCCCCCCCCCCCCCCGACACTGAAAACTTGAGGGCCCCTCACAGATGTTGCACAAGTGCGATGCCATGAACAACATGTAACCCTAAACCCTAAACCCTGAACTCAGGCAATGGCCGACGGTCTCAATCTTGGTGACACCATGCTGTGCCTTGGCACGGGAAGAGCACCAGGACAAAGAAAGCAAAGGGGTCTTCGGGGTATCAAGGTTTAGGGTTTAGGGTTTAGGGTTTAGGGTTTAGGGTTTAGGGTTTAGGGTTTAGGGTTTAGGGTTTCGGGTTTAGGGTTTAGGGTTTAGGGTTTAGGGTTTAGGGTTCCCCGAAGGCAAGCCCTAAACTCGAAACCCCAACCCTAAATCAACATGAGCGCTATGGCACATTGGGAGTATGGGGGGCGAAAAGAGCCCCAAAACCCTCTGACCTGGGTGGTCTGTCACGCCAGGGCTCTATGTGGGCATGGTGTATAGGGTTCAGGGGTTTGGGGGTGTAAACCCTAAACCCAAAACTCCAAACCCTAAACCCTAAACCCTAAACTTGAGGGTTTAGAGTTCAGCGTGCCGGGCTCAGGCCCTGAGGACTTTCCATCTGCCGAGTTGCACAAACCACGTCGATGTTAGTAAAGGTCTCCTTGGAAGGGTTTAGGGTTTAGGGTTTGGGGTTTAGGGTTCAGGGTTCAGTGTTCAGGGTTCAGGGTTCAGGGTTTAGGGTTTAGGGTTTAGGGTTTCGGGATTAGGGTTCAGGCTCTCTTTACCCATATAGGGCACATCGGCACCTAAACCCCAAACCCTCAACACCCATGAACCACCCATGAACCTCCAAGTAGGGTTCAGGGTTTAGGGCTTATGTTTGTTTATTCACCGGAGTCGATTGAGCGGGACGAAATCGTCCTCCGGAAGTGACACGTACCACCCCCCGTCGCAAACGCCAGGGTTTCGGGGTTGAGGGTTTAGCGTGTAGGGTTTAGGGCCAGCCAGGACATGCTCGCTTTCATTGCGGCATGGGAGCTGATTCCCTCAGATCAATGGGTCCGAATGATGGGTGCTACCTAAACCCGAAACCCTGCGCCCTAAACCCAAGCACCTTAAATCCTGAACCCTGAACCCTGAACTCCAGTTTAGGGGACCTGCCATGCACCACCTGCGCAGAATTTTCAAGTATAGCAAGGCCACCCAACAAATGTGAAAATATGTACACTCATGAGCATTCAGGAACCATAAGTACCCCAAACCCTAAATCCGAAACCCTAAACCGCCTCATGGCCCGCAGAGAAGTCAGGGGAGTGCCATGGACGCATGCACCAATGAGGGTCACAGTGAAAGCACTATACCCAAGAAGCCAGGTACCTGTTGGGTTTAGGGGCTTCGGGGTTAGGGTTTAGGGGTTTAGGGTTTAGGGTTTAGGGGTTTTAGGGTTTAGGTTTGCTTATTTTCAGTGTTTAGGGGTTTAAGGGTTTTAGGCTTAGGCGCTTGTAGTGGTTTCGGCTTTAGGGCCGCCCGGGCTCTCAACGCAGGCAAGCGTCATTGAGAAAGTGGAAGAGCTTCGACGGACTCATGCTTTGCGAGTACTTGTCGAAATCCAAAAGGACGATGAACAGGATTGACACGCGATCGACGCCTTGCTCACAGAGGTGCCAGTGCAAAATCGCGTGCTTCCACAGAAGTAAATAAACAAAATAAGTAAATATAAATAAAAAATAAATAAATATAAATATAAATATAAATATAAATATAAATATAAATATAAATATAAATATAAATATAAATATAAATATAAATATAAATATAAATATAAATAAATAAATAAATATATATATATATATGCATATATGTGGATCTTTGGCTCCAGATACCCCCTGCACACCAACACCCCAACACCCGGTTTAGGGTTTAGGGTCTAGGGTTTAGGAAAAACCCTGGCCTGAACACCCAAAACTTCCTGTAGGGGAGACATGCTCCGGCTCAAGTGCAACAAGGGCTTAAGGTCACCTTGGGGTGAAGAAGAGTACCAAAAGCATCTCTGCCCTCAGCCTTGCGCAGAGTTTAGGGTTTAGGGTTTAGGGCTTAGGGCTTAGGTCTTAGGGTTTCAGGTTGGTTTCAGGGTCAAGAGGGTTCTTCTTTGGATTGAAGCCGTCTCAGGCTAAGTCTAAGTGTTCCTTTCAAGTGTGCAGTTCTTTCGCTCAAACAAATTTCGTCGAACTCTAACCCTAAACACTCTTACCTCGACTCCAAGACTACCCCCTTGAAAGAGGAAAAGCCTTTCTTGACCCGAAGCGAAAGCCGCCGAAGCCCTAAACTCAGCTAGGGTTTCGGGTTTCGGGTTTAGGGTTTAGGGTTTAGGGTTCAGGGTTTAGGGTTTAGGGTTTAGGGTTTAGGGTTTAGGGTTTAGGGCTTAGGGCTTAGGGACCTAAGCTCCCCATCTGATTCTCAATGAGTTTTCGTGGTCTTTCCCTTGGAGAACATCATGTTGCTAGTTGGGGCGGCCGGAACTGATGTAGACAAGGCATATCAAGGTATGACAAAAACCACAACGGCTCAAACCAAAACGCAAATGACACATATATTACAGAGCAGACATGAAAAATAAACTCTGTATGCGCAGCCTTGTTCGACACGTCAACCATGAACAAACATTGAACATGTCGGAACCGCCAGCTCTTACGCATTGACGGCCCAACTCGAGGCAGATGAGGGGTTAGGGTTCTCCGGGTTTCGTATTTAGGGTTTAGGAGTTATAGGGCTTGCGAAATTTACCTTGTTCCCCTACACCTCAAGCCCTACACTCTACACCCTAAAACCCTAAACCCTAAACCCTAAACCCCAAACCCCAAGCGCTGTTCTTAAGCCTTGGTTCAGGATCACACGCTTCCAGGGGCCCTGGCGGTTCGCAATGACCATGCCCGGATAGCGCAGGAGACGCTTCACGTAAAACGGCGGGACCATGAAATTGAAAACCTGGGCTGAGGGTTTAGGGTTTAGGGTTTAGGGTTTAGGGTTTAGGGTTGAGGGCTTAGGGTTTAGGGCTTAGGGTTTGGGGTTTAGTGCTCAGGGTTCAGGGGCTCCCTTGATGCCACTTTGTTGCTGCTTGCAGCTAGAGATAAAGCTTCCACGAAACCCTAGGGGCTTTTGAGCGTAGGGCTAAACCCTAAACCCTATAAACCCTACAAACCCTATAAACCCTGCAAACCCTATAAACCCAATGAATGGTTTAAACGCTTAAAGCCCTTAAATTAAGCCCTAAAACCAGAACCTTGAAACAACTCAAGTCGTGAAGAGCCCCTGAAGCCACGCGCTCCGATCACTTCGCAGCACGGGCACGTTGAACATCTTGGAGCACACGTACCGGCGCTTCAGTTCGACCTGGTCTGGGGTCTAGGGCTTAGGGGGCTTCTCGGGCTTGTAGGGCTTATAGGGCTTTCTGGGCTTAGAGGGCTTATAGGGCTTACAGGGCTTATAGGGCTTATAGGGCTGAAAGGGCTTATAGGGCTTAGGGCTTCGGGCTTAGGGCTTAGGACTTGGGGCTTGGGGGTTTAGGGCTTGGGGCTTCGGGCTTAGGGTCCAGGTATCTCCTTAGGTTCAGAAGCTCCTAACCTTGGGTCTCTTGGCGCTGTCAGGAATCCGAAGCTTGAGGTTCTCTAGATGGTTAGGTTCCTTAGGGCAGGGTTTTGGGATTAGGGTTTCGGATTTAGGGTTTAGGGTTTAGAGTTTAGGGGTTAGGGCGGCTTTTGAAACCCTAGAACGCTGAACCCGACACCCCCTGCGCCTCTGCTTGGTGCCTCTGCAGCTTCGCAAGGTGGCGCTTCTGCGCGATGGCGATGGCGTTCCTTGTGAGGCTTCGAGGCTTCGAAGCGTGGAGGCTTCGAAGTGTGGAGTTCGGGTTTTTAGGGTTTGGGGTTTGGGGGCTTAGGGTTTGGGGTTTAGGGTCTCGGGTTTGGGGTCTAGGGTCTAGGGTCCGCCGTTGGATGGGAAAAGGAGGTGAAAACCTCCCTCTTTCCCTCCTTACCCCCCCAAAACGCGGCGGGGGCGGGGGGTAGGGGGGGGTACCCGGGCAGCTTTTCCATGGAGGGCCAGGCCACCCACACCGCATAAACTCACGGACCATAGGCGGTTTCGCACAGGACATGTCCCCCCCCCCCCCCCCCCAACGTTTCACAGAGGCTCAAGCAAATCAATTTTTGGCATCCTTTGCGCTGACGAGCGCGTTGAAACCTTTCAACTATGCTCCAGCGGGTCGGCGGCTTGAGCCGGAGGCTCTTAAATTTAGGGGTGAGGGGTTAGGGTTTAAGGTTTAGGGTCCAGGGTCTAGGGTTTGGGGTTTAGTGTGAGGGGTTCCAGAACTACTATTTGCTTAACCCCCCCCCCCTAAAATAAATCAAAGATAGGGTTTAGGGTTTAGGGTTTTGGGTTTTGGGTTTTGGGTTTAGGATCCCTTCCGGGAGGTGCACGCGCAGGCATGGCCTTCGGCGGCGCAGCTCGGGAAGAAGCAGCAACGACCTTGTTCCCAAGGTCGTTTACGTCCTCACTCAAGTCGATGAGGGTCTTGTCCTGGCGAACCTTCTCTCTAGTCTGCTCAAGAATCTCTTCCACAGTGGTGCCGGACTCGGTAGGGGGAAGGAGCTGCTCGTTCGCAATCTCGGGATCATCAGGATCATCGAGAACGATGGTCTCGATGCCGGGCATCCCCTCTCCGAATGCCACTCCAACCCCACTCAACTCTGACCCGAAACCCCACAAGCCCTAAACCCTAAACCCTAAACCCTAAACCCTGAAAATACCCGCTTCCAAAGTTATCTAGGATGGCCCTTTAAACCCTCTGTGAAATATTCCGAATATGGCCCTCTTAAACCCAATAAGGGAAAATATAAAATATCCCAAGGGCCTACCTAGTTATGAAACACACATGGTCAACCGCATGGACATTCCGACCACAACGACAGCCCCGTGTGACCAAAGCCTCTAAATCCTAAGCCCCAGCAAGGGGGTTTGCGACAATGGGGGGGGGGGGGGGGCCGTTAAGATGGACCCCCCCCATCCAGTAGGATTTTCCTGATAACAAGGCCCCCTACCCCTCTTTTCGAGAAAAGACCCTAAACCCTCAAACCTCAACCCTCAACCCTCAACCCTAAACCCTACCAATGCGGCTAAGCTGCACCATCAACATGGCAACGGTGCCTTGGAAAACGCCAAGAACTCGCCGGAAGGAATGGAAAGGGCTTAGGGTTTAGGGTTTAGGGTTTAGAGTTTAGGGTTTAGGGTTTAGGGTTTAGGGTTTAGGGTTTAGGGTTTAGGGTTTAGGGTTTAGGGTTTAGGGTTTAGGGTTTAGGGGTTTGGGGTTTGGGGTTTGGGGCTTAGGGTTCAAAGCTTCGAATGGGGGTGGGGGCGGCTCGAAGGGTTTCGGAGGTAAGGGCTGAGGGTGCGGGGAAAGCTTGGGATTTGTAACTTCGGAATCTTGATAGCAACTGAGCTTGGACAGCTGGGGGGGGGGGGGGGGGGGGGGGAGGGGCGGGGGCCGGGGGGGGGCAGGTGGTTTACCCTAAACGGCTCATCGAAGCTGAAAGAACTGAGGGTTGTTAATCAGAAAGGCTCTGAACAAGTCGCGGGCTCCTTGTCCTGGGAGACGTGGGCTTCTTAGAATTTGGGGTTTAGGGTTTAGCTTACTGCTCACACAAGATCCGCACGGGGTTGAGGGTTAGGCGATTTCGGGTTTGATGTTAAGGGTACGTTTAGGAGTTACGGTCCATTAGCCCCGGAGACAGCCCAAAAAAAACATGACATGACGCGAAACATGCTCAACCAAGCGAGGGCACCAACACAAATATCGAAAACGCGGTGCGTGAATGCCACCTCCGAGCGAAGCAGGTTGGCTGGAGCTGCACATGGCCACGACAATACCCCTAAACCCTAAACCCTAAACCCCAAACCCTAAACCCAAAACCCTAGATGTTAAACCCTAAACCCTGAACATGATCTGGTTGGACCTCATGACTGGAGTCCATATTCTTTTTGAATTTATAGGGCTGAACCCTAAACCCTAAACCCCAAACCCTAAGCCCGAAGCCCTAAACCCTCAACCCTAAACCCTAAACCCTCAAGCCCCCTGTAACTTGAAATTATTAAGAAAATCCAAAAAACGAAACTCCTCGAAACTTTCCTCGAAACTTTCCCCGGACCTGAGCCCTTAATGATTACAATAAACTAAACGCACCACCCTCTGTGCCTGGGATTTTTGAATACTGGGTAGATCTTGGAGGAGGCTAGGACTCCCTGCAGGGTTTAGGGTTTAGGGTTTAGGGTTTAGGGTTTAGGGTTTAGGGTTTAGGGTTGAGGGTTTAAGGCTTAGGGCTTAGGGTTTAGGGTTTAATTAGGGTTTAAGTGGCTACCTGGAAGCTCGCCAGAATGGTACTTCTTAGGAATTCAGGCTGCCCTCATCTCCCTAAACTCCCCTAAACCCTAAACCCTAAACCCTAAACTCCTGAATGTAGCAGCTTTCTGGGTTCGGCATGGTGCGTAAGATTCGAGTCTTCAGGCTTTAGGTTTAAAGTTGAAAAGCGTTACAGGGTTTCAGGCTTCGGGCTGGATGTAGATTGGGGTACAGGGAAGGTGCCCTTATCCTGCACAACTCGCCCACCCCTCCTGCGCCAAAGCGACCCCTGGACTCGACATGCTTCCGCCAGCATCAAGCCAGCCCTGCACATGAAACCCTCAACCCCAACGCCTGTGAAGCCTATACCCCTTCGAGGAAGCTTCCGAAAATCCGAAGCCCCAAACCCCTCAACCCCCCTTCCCTGCGCCGCGCCTCGTTGGTATTCGCACAGGTGTACAAGACACCACCGATGTAAACGACAAAGACTAGAGTCCTGAGCTAGAGAGGCTTGTAGGCACCGGAAGTCCTAACCCTGATCGTTGAACAAGGGTCCAGGGGTTTCGGGTGTTGGGTTTAGGGTTTAGGGTTTAGGGTTTAGGGCTTAGGGCTTAGGGCTTAGGGCTTAGGGCTTAGGGCTTAGGGCTTGGAGCTTAGGGCTTAGGTTTAGGGGGTTCGGGCTATAGGAGAAGAGGGCTCCCAAAGGGGGCTTATAAGGCTCACGGCCCTAAACCCAAACCCCAAACCGTCGGCATAGCTGGGGCTCATAGCATCGAGAGCCTCTGCGGCATTTATCCGGTCTGTGGGGTTTTAGGCAGCACGTAGAGGCTTGAGGGCTTTTCGGGTTCAAGGGTTTAGGATTTAGGTTGAGCTAAGCTGCAAGTCTTGAGGAGAAGTCCTTGGAAACCCCCCCTTGAGCCCGACACTTACAGTAGGACCTGGAACCTGGGTTTCGGGTTGACATTTTAAACATTAGGGTTGGTAAGCCCTCAAACCTAAAACCCTAGACCCAACAGACCCCAAAGCATCTCAATGCCCGCGCCTCCCCAAGGTGAACATTGTCAAATGGAAGACGGTGGGATAGTACATTACCTGATTTGTTCTCCGCATGGTTTGGGGCTTCTGGTCTAAGGTTTAGGGTTCAGGGTTTAGGGTCGGTTTTTTCTGGGGGGGGGGGGGGGGGCAGTGTTCAGCTTAGGTGTTCAGGGTTCAGGGAGGGTGTACGCGGCAGGTTCGCAAGGTCCTCTTTGGATGTTCCATAATCAGATACGAAGAAGCGACATTCTTTTGAGAAATGCCACAAAGGGATCAGCCGTTTCTTCCCGTTTCTTCTTGGGGCTCTACGGAACCCTACTTCTAGGTACCCATGAAACTCCAAGTACAAGAAAATTGGATTTAGGGTTTAGGGTTTCGGGCTTAGGGCTTAGGGTTTCGGAGCTTAAGTTTAAGTTACCCTAAACCCTAAACCCTGAACCCTAAACCCTAAACCCTAAACCCCAAGTTTAGGGTTGAGGGTCGGGTTTGAGGGTTACTAGTGGGCGCGTAGCTTCCGCTCAGAAATGGCCACATGAACCCAACCCCCGACCCCGGAATCCGCAGCTCCCTGAAGGTGCCACGCACCGCTGACACGTAGCATGAGATGATGAACCTTACGATGTATATCTACATCTATATCTATATCTACATCTACATCTACATATATATATATATATATTGATATTTATATTTAGATTTATATTAATACTAAAAATGAAAATGTATATATATATAATATGTATGATCTGGCAGGGTGACTTGACTTGTTGTATGTTACGTAAACAGTGTGTATGTGCTTGCAGTAAACTGCCAAAAAGCTGTAGCATCATTATCCTCATACCCTAAGAGGGTTGCTATATATATATATATATATATTCATATTCATATTCATATTCATATTCATATTCATATTCATATTCATATTCATATTCATATATTCTGGGGAGGCTTACTGAGGCGTGCACGGACATGAGCACGTAGATCATGTCAAAATAGAGAACCTGGTAGCCTGATCATTGGGCCCATTTGGGCCGAGGGTTCTTCAGTCTGTGGCTTGCGTCTCGCTTAGGGCTTCAGCACTAAATCCTAAAGCTGAGCGGGGTGTAGTGCTGAGCCCTGTGGGGGTTCATCATGAGAATATTGATTTTCATCCTGTGTGTCCCCCCTACTCCTGAATCCTAGCCTGGTGAATTGCAACAATATGATGTGCTAGAAGCCAACAGATCTTACCCTAGTTGCACATCTCCACCCCCCCCCCCCCGCCCCCCCGCCCCTCCCCCAAGATAACATGCGCTCACTGTGATATTATTGCATGTACGAGTAGGTTGCCATTCTGGCGGAGGGCGGGGGGGTTATCGCTTATCGCTTCTCTGCCAAGAGGGCACCCCCAAAACGAAACTATTTCAAGTACCCACGATTGAAACCCAAAACCTAAAACCCAAACCCCAAAACCCCGAATCTCCACAACCCCCAAACCCCCCAAACCCCAAAAAACCCCAAACAAACCCAAGACACCCAAGACCCCCAAAACCCAAAGCCCAAAACCCCAACCCCCCCCCCCCCCCTCCAAAACCTCCCCCCAAACACCCCCCAACCCCCCCCCCCCCCCCCCCCCCCCCCAAAAAAAATCACACCAAACCCCAAACTCCCCAAAACCCCCAACCCAAAAACACCCAAAACCCCGAAAACCCCCAAAAAAACCAAAACCCCCCAAAACCCCAAAAACCCCCCAAAAAACCCACCAAAAACCCCCAAAACCCCAAAAACCCCAAGAACCCCAAAACACCCAAAACCCCCCAAGAGCCCCAAAAGCCCCCCCCTCAAAAAAACACAAAAGCACCAAAACCCAAACCCCAACCCCCCCCCCCCCCCCCCCCCAAAAAAAAAAAAAAAAACAAAACTATGCCAAGCGGCCGGTGTTATCATGATTCACGTCGGACTCGAACCAGGACCTGGGTCCCAGATTAGGATTCTCCCCCTTATACTAACAGTCCTTCTTAGGTTTAGGGTTTAGGGTTTAGGCCTTAGGGCTTAGGGCTTAGGCCTTAGGGCTTAGGGTTTAGGTAGGGTTTTTGTGTTCCCCCCTATACTAACAGTCCTTCATGGGAAACTGTTTGGGAGTTTAGGGTTTAGATGCTCCCCCCCTATACTGACAGTCCTGAATAGGGATTATCGAACCCCCGATTAGAACCCCTATTAAGGACAGTCTAGGGGTGAACATCGGATCCGGGTCCTAGGGTTTTATAGGGCTTACAGGGTTTTAAGGGGCTTTGTAGGGTTTATGGGCTTTTATCGGCTTGTTTATAGATTGCTACTGTAGGTTGCTACTGGGTGTTGTGGGGCCGTGTAAGGAAGATAGGGAGTTGCAACAGTGTCTTGTTTGGCTTGACAACGAAAGGCTGTTTACGGAGTCAGTGCTTTGGGTTTAAGGTTTAGGTTTAACCCTAAACCCTAAAACCCTAAACTCTTAAACCTTTAACCCTAAACCCTAAAACCCCAAACTCTTAAACCCTGAGCCCTTTCGGGTCTTCGGGGGCTTCTGAGGCAAAGGGGCGCTGGCAGAGCACCGAAAACTGAGGCGAAGGGCTTAGGGTCCAGAGAGCCTGTGGGCTTGGGCGCATTGTTTAGGGTTCAGGGCTTAGGGTTGGGGGTTTTTAGGGTTGAGGAGTTACTTCGGACTTTGTGGGCCATGGGTCTTAAGGCTCTAAGCAGCTATGCCTACAGCTATCCTAGCTACAACCCTACCTATCACTGCGCATGGCTCCTCCAAGTGTGTCCAACTGTGTGGTTTGAGAGTCTGATCGCACCCCCAGGGCCCCCTCGCTCCGGCGTGGGGTCCGGGTCTAGGGTTGCAGGGCTTAGTGTTTAGGGTCTAGGTTTAGGACTTAGGGCATAGGGTTTAGGGTGGCTACTGTTTCGGGCTTTAGGGCTTGGGGCTTGGGGCCTTGAGGTTTTACCAGGGGTCCCTTATCCACACCCCTGAATCCCGAAACCACAATTCCACCCCAAATCCCAAACCCCAAACCCCAAACCCCAAAACCTAAACCCTAAACCGTAATATATGGCTGATGGACAACATCATTGGATCGGCCGCCACCAAAGAAATAATCCTTGGCTGTGCTCTGCGCGCGAAGCAAGCTGTAGGGTTTAGGGTTTAGGGTTTAGGGTTTGGGGTTTAGGGTTTAGGGTTTAGGGTTTAGGGTTTAGGGTTTAGGGTTTAGGGCTTGGGGTTCAGGGATCCTATACTCTGAGGCCCTAAATGGTACACGTAGGGTTTAGGGTTTAGGGCACACTTCCGCAGATGCAGCGTTGGAGGCACCAGGTGCACGAAGCATAAACCCTAGACCCTAAACCCTAAACCCTAAATCCCAAACTCTCCTCAACCCGAAGCCCCATCCCGAAACCCTAAATCCTCCGGGCTCGGCTGGGATTCTCTGAGTGGAGGGGTTGCTCTTCTTGAAGTCTTGGGTTTAGGGTTTGGGGGAAGTTCCGAACCCTAACCCTAAACCCTAAACCCTAAACCCTAAACCCCAAACTCTCCTCAACATCCTCCGGGCACCCTCCTGGGTGAGACAGGCTGGCATTCTCTGAGTGGAGGGGTTGCTCTTCTTGGGTTTAGGGTTTGGGGGTTTAGAGATTGGGTTTAGGGTTTAGGGTTTAGGGTTTAGGGTTTAGGGTTTAGGGTTTAGGGTTTGGGGTTTAGGGTTTAGGGTTTAGGGTTTAGGGTTTAGGGTTTAGGGTTTAGGGTTTAGGGTTTAGGGTTTAGGGTTTGGGTTAAAGGAATACTCCCAGACAGAGGACCCTGTCCTCAGCCCCCAGATGCGCGCCCAGCATCGAATCAAAGCCGAGCACCCAGAGGTACAGGTGCATGCTGTCAGGGTGAGAGCGGTTTAGGGTTTAGGGTTTAGGGTTTAGGGTTTAGGGTTTAGGGTTTAGGGTTTAGGCTTCAGGAGGGGTTTAGGGGTATAGGGGCTTCAGGGCCTAAGAGCCCACAGACCTCGCGAACCAGTGCCCCAAGCCTTTCGTCTTGGGGCCTTAGGTCTATAAGTTTTTTGAGGGTTTGGGGTTTGGGGTTTGGGTTTAGGGTTTAGGGTTTAGGGCTTAGAGCATAGGGGTAAGACATAAACAGTTGACGAACTCGGGATTTCGAGAGACAAGTGTGCATCAAGATTCTCGTGACACTTATGCGGCGCTTTGTATCACAACTCCGAAGCCCTATGCACGCCAGGCTTCCCCCCCCCCCCCCACTCCCCGTCCCGTGGTTCATGGTGGATTTGGGTTTGTTTCCCCCCCCCCTTTCCATGTGGTTCATGGTCTGTGGTTCATGGTGGGTTCAGGGCTGCAGGGTTTAGGGTTTCACTCTTGTCTCCCTGGTTCATGTGGCTTAGAGTTCAAAGTTTAGGGTTGAGGTCTAGGTTCAGGGATTCACCTTTTCCCCCTGTGGTTCTGGCTCGTGGCGGGTTTACGCTTCAGGCTGCGGGGTTGATTTCTTAACGCGCTGAAAGCTTCGGGCCCGAAACCCTAAACTAAGACGAACCCTAAACCCGAAACCCTAAACCCTGAACCCTAAACCCTAAACCCTAAACCCTAAACTCAACCCGAACCCCAAACCCTAAACCCTTGGGTCTCAGAAAGTCCTCCCCCCACCCCCCCCCCCACCCCACAACACCCAAGCCTGGGATGACGGAGGATGTACGTCAGAAGGGGCCACTCCACGCCGTAGGTGACTAAGTACCTAGGCTGCTCTTGTACACGGTTCAGGGCTTGGGGTTTTGGGGGGTTTGCATGTTCAGGTTTTAGGGTTTAGGGTAGGGTTTACGGTAGGGTTTAGGGTTCGGGGCTTTAGTCTGTGCTTTGTTTAATGGGGCGTGAGGGGGCGGGGGGGGGGGGGGGGGGGGGGGGGGGGGGGAGGTTCGTGTTTTTCAGGTTTGAGGGTGTGTTGGAACGGGGCTCAACAACCCAAATCGGGTTGAGAGCTAAGAGCTCAGCTTTTGGGTTTAGGGGTCACCCTGAACCCTAAACCCTAGACCCTAGACCCTAAGCCCTAAACCCTAAACCCTAAACCCTAAACACTAAACACTAAACACTAAACCCTAAACCCTAACCCCAAACGTCCCACATTGTAGGCTCTCGTCCGAGGCTCGGAAGCCATAGTTGCCAGTGGCGCCACTTCTGCACCATCAGGGCCTCACAGGATTTAGGGTTTAGGGCTTGGGGTTTGGGGTTTAGGGTTTAGGGTTTAGGGTTTAGGGTTTAGGGTTTAGGGTTTAGGGCCTTCGGGTCTACCTGGAGGTTCATGGTTACTTACTAACCAAATCTAACTGTACTTCTAACCCACTTAGAAGCCCCTAAAGTGCCCTAATGTGGTTATAAGTACAGTTATGGTTAGCAGGTACCATGAACCTCCAGGGTTTTGGGGGCTTGAGGGTTCAGGGTTTTGGTGGCGTTTGGGGTTTGGGGTGCAGGGTTTGGCTAAACCGTAAAACCCTGAACCCTGAACCCTGATGAACCCTAAACTTATGGTGGTCCTGGTTTGGGCCTCTGGATTTCAAATTCAATCTTTCTGGGGGCGCCCTAACTTAGCTGCCACGTGTTTGAAGTGAACCGTGCGAGAGCGGAATCCTCAATGCACAGGGTTTAGGGTTTAGGGTTCCGGGTTCAGGGTTTAGGGTTTAGGGTGCAGGGTTTAGGGTTTAGGGTGCAGGGTTTAGGGTTTAGAAACGTGATTGCTTTGCATCAGAAAAAACTAGCTTCGTGAACTTCGTTCGTTTACAAGCTACTTTCAGAAGCGAAGTAAAGCGGGAGCGAAGAAAATGATGAGCGATTTCGAGCGTCCGACTTCGTGGGTCACTTGCCACTTGCGTCTGTTTAGTAAGACTAACGCTTGGTTCGTCGTCTTCTGCGAGTGACCATGAAGCGTGAGTTTGTTAAGGTTTGTACTTTGTTCTTGATTGTAGAATTGGCTTTCGGTAAGTCTTTCCAGTGGCTTGCTCACTCACGCAGTTTGTGCACTCAAGTGCAACTGCTGCGTGCACAGGTCAGCGCTTCGCCTTTGCATTCTTTCGGCGTCTCTTCGAGGTTCTGAAGATTTCAAGACCTGGTTTAGAAACAAAACCCTCTACCCCAAATCCCTAAACTCTTGCCAAAACCCTAAACCCCCTGCAGAATTCGGAGCTCCCCTATCCTAAACCCTAAACCCTATAGAACCCTGCCATTTCCGAGACAGGGCTGCGTGCTCGGTTGGAGAGTTTGCACATGCAGACAGCCCCCTCGCAAGCCGCCCCCCAAGTCTTGGGGTTTGGGGTTTGGGGTTTGGGGGTTTGGGGGTTTGGGGGTTTGGGGGTTTGGGGGTTTGGGGGTTTGGGGGTTTGGGGTTTGGGGTTTGGGGTTTGGGGTTTGGGGTTTGGGGGTTTGGGGGTTTGGGGTTTGGTGTTTGGGCTTTGAGGTTTGGGGTTTGGGGTTTGGGGTTTAGGGTTTAGGGTTTGGGGTTTAGGGATTAGCGATCCTAAGCCCTCAGCCCTGAAGCCCCACTCTCTTTAAGGCGTCGGGGTTGCGGGGTGTGGCTCCCAACGAAGCTAGGGCATGGACCACGGTCTGAAAGGACAGCACGACATTCTCAATAAGAATGATGCAAGCACCTGGTATACCAAGATTTTAGGGTTTAGGGTTTAGGGTTTAGGGTTTAGGGTTTGGGGCCTAGGGTTTTGGACCATGCCCTAAACTACAAGGAAGATGTGCTAACTAGAGACCCACTGTTAGAATTGGGGTTATAAGTACCCTGAACCTCCAAGTAGGGATGTAGGGATGTCAAGGGATTTCGGGTTTCGGGTTCAGGGGCTAATTGAGGGGTTTAGGGTTCAGGGTTCAGGGGCGAATTAAGGGGTTGAGGGTTTAGGGTTCAGGGGCTAATTGAGGGGTTGAGGGTTGAGGGTTCAGGGGCTAATTAAGGGATTGAGGGTTTCGGGATGTCGTGTTTGATCAGATTAGGGCTTCAGGGTTTCGAGGTTTCAAGGCGGCAAGGGTTTAGGGATCTAAGGGTTTAGGGACTCAGCGTTGGAAGATCCACGGCCATTTGTGCCTCTATGGTCCTAGGCTTTAGAGTCTGGGGTTGCTGTCGCTAAATTCTGGCACCTTTCTTGGGGAAAGAGAACGAACCAGCAACCCTCAGCCCTAAGCCCTAGAGTCTAGAGCCTTAACCACTTCATTGGGGTGTAGGCTTTTCGGAACTGTCAACCCCAAACCCTAAACCCTAAACCCCAAACCCCAAACCCCAAAACTCCATGAACCCTAAACCCGAAATCCTAAACCCTAGGCCCTGATCAACCCTAAACCCGAAACCCCCAAACCCTAAACCAAAAACCCTAAACCCTAAACCCTAAACCCAAGAGCGTTACCCCCTAAAACCTCCGATGGGCCAAGGTTCCGAAGGTGATATTCCGATCCAGCACCTGCCGTGGCTTTCAGGGGGTTGGGAGGTTACAGAGAGGTTTGGGGTTTAGGGTTTGGGGTTTGGGGTTTGGGGTTTAGGGCTTGGGGCGTAGGGTTTAGCCTTTGGGGGGTACTTTGCCGGTTTGTGGCTTGGGGGTTTAGGGTTTGGGGCGTACGCGGTGTCACCTTGGAACTGCTCTTGGAACCTCTTCATGGCCCTTTGCAAAAAGAACAAACTCAACGCGCGGATTAACCCTCAGCCCTGAACTCTACACCCTAACCCTAAACCCTAAACCTCAGCCCTAAACTCCTTAACGTCTAAACCCCAGCCCCTAAGTCGTACACCTCACACACTCAGCACTAAACCCTATCAAGGGCATGGACCGGACAGGTAAACTCCCCCCCCCCCCGCTATCTGGCTAACGATACGGAGGCCTGATGAAGATCATCACTGTGGGATAGTTGAAAGGTACATCTGGGAAGAGAGAAGTCGTAAGCCCTCAAGCCCAAAGAGCCCAAAAACCCTAAACCCTAAACCCCAAACCCCTAAGCCCCCCACCCTAAGCCCCAACCCCTGAATCCTAAACCCGCCCTCGCAGGGGGGGGCCCTTGGTGTGCTTCTGGTGGTTTGGATGTGGGGATGTTTAAGGGGAGGAGGGGGGAGGGGGAATGTTGGTTTAGGGTTTAGGGTTTAGGGTTTAGGGTTTAGGGTTTAGGGTTTAGGGTTTAGGGTTTAGGGTTTAGGCTATCTTCTTAGGAGGGCTCCCTTTGGATTCGAGAGAAGGAGGAACTGCTTTAAAAGACCCGAATCAAAAATATGTTCTGAGAGGACAGGGTAGGCTTTTCAATCCCAAACCAATCGAAACCCTAGGCCTCTCGAAAAACCCTAAAGCCTAAACCCTAAACCACAACCGGCCACCAAAAAGCAACGCCTCTCGCCGCCACAATCGCGTCGTCTCGAGTTTCAAGCCGCCTTTTCTTGGGGTTTAAGTTTCGGGTTTAGGGTTCGCTCTGTCCGGGTTTTGAGCTTGGGGTTCAGGGTTGGCGGTGGCTGGAGATTCCACTGTAACCAGCCACTTGGAGGTTCAGGGTGATTATAACCCCAATTATAACTGCACTTATAAGCAAGTCCCCTAAGTAGGCTATAAGTAGACTTTAAACTGACTTTATTACATACCCCCGAACCTCCAAGCAGAGGGTTGAGGGCAAGTTGAGGGTTTAGGGTTGACGGCCTTTTTGGGGCTTGGCGTAATGAAGCTTGGTTCGCGGTTTAGGGGCTAGGGTTTAGGGTCGCGACGCCGAAAGACTTTTCTGCTGCTCCGCGATTCACCGCGCCGTTACGGCCGGTGAGACAAGAAGCAGGCCCTAACCTGAAAGCTTGTAACTATATATTCATATATATATATATATAACAAATTAATACATATATATATATATATATGTATACATACTTATTAATATTTATTTATACGTACACGAATATACGCACACAAGCACACATACACACATGAAATACATCTATCCAGTCATATGCACATAAACCTACTCTACTTTACTTTCGCAATAGCCAAGCAGGCAGAACTTTAAAAAAGTTCATAATTCCACCAAACTCAGAGAAACCAAAAATTTAAAAGTTCGGACGTGGGGAGACCAGGATGGGCCATTACACGCTATAAAATCCCTTAAAAAGGCCCTTTGTAGGGTTCATTCTGGGGGAATTTTACGGCCTAATGGCTCCATCCTGGGACCCGGGAAGGGAGTCTACTGCAGGAACCGCGCGTAGCACCACTTGCGGCCCAGCTCGGCGTGGCACGCCAGCTTCTCGACCCTGCCGCCCTGGTTTCGGGTTTAGGGTTTAGGGTTTACTAGGGTTTGCTAGGGTTTACTAGGGTTTGCTAGGGTTTACTAGGGTTTGCTAGGGTTTACTAGGGTTTACTGGGGTTTACTAGGGTTTACTAGGGTTTACTGGGGTTTACGAGGGTTTACTAGGGTTTAGTAGCGTTTACTAGGGTTTAGTAGGGTTTAGGGTTTAGGGTATAGGGTATAGGGTTTAAGGGTTAAGGGGTCCATTGGGCATCAGGCAACACCCGAAAGCCCAAAACCCTACTAAACCCCGAGCCCTAACTCCTAGACTCCTACTAGGCTGCCCAGTATCCAAGGCTTAGAAAGGGTGCCCTTTTTTGCTAACCTAAACCCCCTAAAAAAGGGAATAAGGGCGCTACTGGGCATCCTAGCCTAAACTGAGCATTGTGCTGGCAGTTGGGTAGTGCCTTGGGGGCTCCATGCGAGAGGGCAGTCAGGTTTGTTTGTTTGGCTTTGCTTGAGGGGGGGCTGGGTTTAGGGTTTAGTGCTCACGCCGTCTAGGGTTTTAGGGAACAAGAAAGCAACGTACCGAAAGACCAGGTTGCTGTTACTACGCTACCATAGCAACACTACAAAGCAAATAGTGGAAGCTTTCGTGCAGCATGCACAATCCTAAGCCCTACAACTCCCATTACGTCCCCCACCCTAAATCCTAAACCCTAAACCCCAAAGCCTTAAACCCTAAGAGGAGCCGAGCAGCGCGAAGGAATGAATCCCAGGCGCGCTTGGGGCCGTCACAGAAATCATCAGGACCTGGTCTATTCAAAGGGTTTAGGGTTTAGGGTTTAGGGTTTAGGGTTTAGGGTTTAGGGTTTAGGGTTTAGAGTTTAGGGTTTAGGGTTTAGGGTTTAGGACTAAAAGGCTCCACGGTGTAAACCCTGAAGAGATCCTAACTTCGACCAGGGGGGGAACCACATGGTCAATACGGTTTAGGGTTTAGGGTTTAGGGTTTAGGGTTTAGGGTTTGGGGTTTAGGGTTTAGGGTCCAGGGTCCAGGGTTCAGGCTTTAGGGCAAACCGATTCTGGGAAATACCTGGCAGAATGAACCTGGGCCTAAGGTTCTCAGGGCTCAACAGAGAAGCCTAAATCAATTGCCAAGATCCTGCCCTACTAAATCTGAGGGTTTGGGGTTTAGCGCTTGGGGCGTGGGTTTAAACGCAAAGCCCGAAACCCCAAAACCCTAAAATCCTGAAACCCTAAAACCCAAAAACCCCAAAACCCAAAAACCCAACCCTAAAACCCCAAAAGCCCTAAAACCCTAAACCCTAAAACCCTAGACCCAAAACCCCTGAACCCTTCTCCGCCCAGGTGCAGCCCACATCGTCCAGTATCAGCAGGGTACCGGCACGGGCCATCATCGACATGTGGACCAAGTCCGCGGTGGCCTCCTTCAGGGAGAAAGTTTCCCTAAAGTAGGGCTTAGGGCTTAGGGCAGAGGGCTTAGGGCTTAGGGTTTAGGGTTTAGGGTTTAGGGTTTAGGGTTTAGGGTTTAGGGTTTAGGGTTTAGGGATCCACAATCTAGAGGACTGGCCTCTTCGAGGTGACCACCATCGATGTAGATCAGGTCACACCTTGGGGTGGGGGCGCCGAATCCCCAACAGCCTAGACGTTTAGGGTTTAGGGTTTAGAGTTGAGGGTTGAGGGTTGAGGGTTTAGGGTTTAGGGTTTAGGGTTTAGGGTTTAGGGTTTAGGGAACCAAAAAGCCCCAAAATCCTAAACCCGCGCCTAGCAACCCTAAACCCTGATTGCGAGCAAGCCCTATCTTTGTGCCTTCGAAATTAATGCTCCTTTGTCTGCTATCATTAAACCCTCAACCCTCAAACCTGAACCCTAAACCCTAAACCCTAAACCCTAAACCCTAAACCCTAAGCGACCTCAGGGCCAGGTTCTGCTTCACAAACAGGGGGATCGTCACATTGGAGAAGCCCTCCACCAAGGTGTGCCTCCTTGGGAAGACAGAGCGGATCACCCGATGGCAGGCGCGCGTGTAAGGCGTCGCCATGAGGTCCTTAGGGCGCAGGAAAGAAACCTACAGGGGAGGGCCTCAACCCTTCTTGAAGGTTCCGGGGTTTGGGGTTTGGGGTTGAGGGTTTAGGGTGTACTTACAAGGACGGTCCTAAGTACCCTAAGTAAGGTTAACGCCGTATTGCCGTACGCCAGACCCAGCTGTAGATGTGCTCGATGAGACGTGAAGAGGCAAAAATGCCGTAAATAGTAGGGTTTTCGGGACGGTTAGAGTAAAATGGTCGTAACTAACCCCCCCCCCCCCCCCCAAACCAAAGAACACTCTCTCCAGACCGCAAGTGTCAAGAAAGCCACACGGGCAAATACCAACGTGTCAGGGCTTAGGGCCTAGGGCTTAGGGCTTAGGGCTTAGGGCTCAGGGCTTAGGGTTTAGGGTTTAGGGTTTAGGGTTTAGGGTTTAGGGTTTAGGGTTTAGGGTTTAGGATTTAGGGTTTAGGGTTTAGGGCAGACCGAGTGTCAAAGGACACCATGCGAGCCCCCGGTGAGCTGGAGAGGAATGCCCACGCGGAGTGGCCCGCGTTGAAGCCAACTTCACAGATCTGCCGCACGCCCGCGAACTGGGCCTGCTTCTCTAGAGTGAAATAAAACCAAAACCCTAAACCCTAAACCCTAAACCCTAAACCCACCCTAAACCCTAAACTCCGTTGCTTCCCCTAAGGATCCATGTACCGACTTTGTAGATACTTGGGCTTTAAGGGGGGTGCCAAAAAGAGTAGCTATAGGGCCCAAGTATATACTATGTAGGCGCATGGATCCTTAGGTCTCTCTAGTTGGAACATGGTTTAAGGACGATTCGTGTTGGAATTCCCTTTAGCAACCCTCTTGGGGGATGAGGATAATGATGTTCCAACTGTTGGGGCTCCCATGAAAGGAGGTTCCGAAATCAGATTGTTCTCAAGGCTTAATCAGGATCTGAAGAACAAAGGTCTGCACGATTCTAGAACTGACTTAGAAGAGAACGGCATGGATTAAAACAGAATAGGCATAGAAACGGATATAGACAAGTACACGAAAACAGAAGACAAACAAAAAGGCACCACAAGCATAATCGCCCCGCAGCCCCGTTTGAATAGGTCCTTTTGCCATGATGCTTGCTTGAGCTGATGAGTGAACGGGCTTAGGAGCTGGCTCTATATTAGGGAGCTGGGCGTTGGAGAGTGCCGCAGTGCTTGAGTGTCTGGTGTGTTGTGCACAGCATTGAGGGTTGCTTCTAGTTGGAATTGGAGTGTTGGACTCGAGAAGCCGCCAGAAAATTATTCAAAAAACTGACACTGGAAAGCGTCGTGCCCAAGATCTCTCTTCCACGCAGTCTCTGGAACTTCAGCTTTCAGGACGTAAAACTCGGCTCATACTCATACAGGGGCAGCAGCTCAGGATGCACCAGAGGCAAAGCTTCGGGGGTACTTTTCCGAGGTGCGGTGCGGCTTTTGGTGCAGCCTGTCTTGGCTGCCCTCACCCCCGTTTGCCACGAACGTGTTTGGTGCCTAGAGCTTGGTGCCCGTGGCCCCCCTCCGCCCCGTCCCCCGTCCAGCCTTTAAATGTTGGAGCTAATGTGTTGGACCCGTTGAAATGGCGTTTTGGTTTGGCTATTTTGTAGCATTCCCTTTCCCGCGAACGAAATGGAAAATGCAAGAGGCGATAAGAAACTTAATGGCAGGAGAGTGTAAAGTAGGAGTAGAATACATAAGACTAGGGTAGAATATACAAGCGAATGGAATGGAGTAGATACATATTGTATGTGTATGTATATATATATATGTTTCTATGCACATGTCAGTACGTACATACATACATACATACATGCATACATGCATACATGCATACATGCATACATGCATACATGCATACATGCATACATGCATACATGCATACATGCATACATGCATACATGCATACATGCATACATGCATACATGCATACATGCATACATGCACATGCGTACATGCATACGTACATGTCCTCAGTCGGTTCTTGAGCGTTCAACAAAGTCTCAAGAACTCAGGCCTGTTTCGACAGCCACCACGCTTGAGTGATGGAGGAGGCGCCTCTTTCGGGCTCCGAACGAGGCTGCAAAAGGACCCTGAA